GTTGGGGGGTTGTGGAGTTTTGCTGTCCGGTTGAACCAACCTAACAGATTTATATATATAGATAAACACTTATTGGGGCTCCACAAGAAAAATTTCCTTCAAAAAGTGCTCCATGGCTAAAAAAGTTTGAGAACCTCTGTTTTAGGGTGGCCATAGGTCAGAAACAACTTGAAAGCACACAACAAAAACAGCAAACCCATGCATAGATAAGTGAACAGGAGGTTTAAGGTTATGACTAGCAAAAGCAGGAAAAGAAACGTAAAGGAAGTTCATATTTACACTTGGGTTCTCCAAGATATCTCATTATGTGCTTATATTCCAGAATCCGAATAAATAAATAAATCTAAATCCTAAATCACTTCTGGAGCATCTGGGATGAGGGATACACACTTGTACTCTCTCATTTGGGTGCTACAAAAACAGATATTCAAAGATGTGCCAGTTGTTTTTGTTGTTATGCATCTTCAAGATGAATCTGTCCTATGTTTTCCTTGGTGCGATTTGTTCTGAGAAGGCTTTTCATTTACAGCTGAAAGGTGGTGACTTGCCCAAGGTCACCCAGTGGGTTTCCATGGTTGAACAAGGAGCTAGATCTCTGACTCTCTCATTCAAGCCAGGATATCATATTGACTTTGCTGCCACATCTGTTACAGGAAATAAAATGGACTATCAGACATAGCTAACTTTATTCCATGAATTCGCAAGTTACATGAAACTGCGAAAATGATTAGTTACTTATTGTCAACTTGAATGATGCCAGAGAAGAAAGGGCAGGTATGACAAGACTAGGCAGGGACAAGCAGATCCATCATGAAGTGTGTTTGTCAGAAAATAGCATCTTTCTTCCTCTTTCTTCCTGTTCAATGTTGCTTGTTTTTTGCTGGCAAAACAGAAGTCGTTTTTCCATGCTGGAGAAGTGCCATTTGAATGTCATTAAAGATGACAGAAGAGGAAGAAGCACAGAAGGCCTCAGGGAGATTATATATATATATGGATTGTACTTGTGAGTGTGCAGAATTTCAACCCTTTGGTCAGCAAAAAGACAAAGGACCTTGTCTAGAAGAGGCCTACTTTTAGGGGTCAGACTGACAATGTACAATCTCTGGGCCAAAATTGCAGCCTTCAATGGATGCTGTTTCCATTCCATAGATGAAATGGATGAAAACCAGCCCTTTGGTTGCACTAGAACTCCCACCATCATTAGACAGCATGGCCCTAGGCTGCATTTGATGGCAATCCTGTTCTAATACATTAGATGTGCTGTCGCACGCTGGGCCTGTACATAAGACTATAGACAGGACATAAATTCTGTGTGCCCAACAGATTAAAGGCCTTTGGATTTCCTTAAAACAGAGTCTTTAGATTGCTTAAAGGTACAACAAAATTCTTTATTATTGAAAACAAACAGGTACTTCAAGGCTTTCTTAATAGTCTATTGGCTCTCACAATCTTGTCCACTGGGAACAGGCACTATCTTCATAACTGTATTTTAACAAATGGGGAAATCCTTAACTTCTAATCTGGGCAGTCTGTCTTTGCCTCTGTTGGTGTGGAGCCCCTGCACCTGTTACCAACTGCTTCTGGCTTCCGCGAGTGACCCTTACCAAGCAGAGCTTTGTAGACTTCCAGGGGAAAAAGAAGAAATTCAGGTTTCGGTGATGGCTGGCTGAAGTGCTGTGAGACTGGATTCCCTCAGTAAAGGAGCTGCAAGGCTGTATATCTCCCGGCCAAGCCGTAGAAGATGAAGCTTTCTACAGGAGCTCTTGGAATTATGTCCTGCGTGAAAGGCTTCTCTGTGTGGACTGAACCCAAAATGGCTCCTATTCCCTCCAAAACCCAAAAAGGGGGTGGGACCAGGGAGCCTAACGATAATTGACAGGTGGCTTGCCCTATGATTGCAGCTAAAAGAAGCCAACTATCTGGAGAGTCCCTGAAATTTAGGACTACAACAAACATTCAATGCAAAGCAAACAAAATTGGAGCTCCGGTACAGCTGTACCTGCACATTAGAATAGTGCCAGTAAGGGGAATGGTGAGCCTGGAAGGCAAATGTGGATTTGAGAGCCATGGGCTCATATTTGTTAAGAAACCTTGGGCCATTTTATTTGATGTTATTCCCTGTTCGTACCATAATTATCGCTGTGTTCTGAAATTAGAAAGTGGGCAGAAGGCAAAAGGAATGCCAATGCTTGTTCCTCCTTGTTCCCAATAGTGAAACTGACATTTATTGAATATGGTCCCATCTGTCTGATGTAAGGTAGCTTCATTCTTGTCTCAAAGGGATTCTGCAACAACCGCTGTCCCAAAAAACCCCAAATTGCTGCGTAGCAATGACCTCTCCTGGCTACTTGTTGCTTGGCAGTAATGTGATGGAATGATCAAGATAGACATGTCTCTGAGCTATTTTTGGATGTATCCCTCGTGATTGGCAGTCACAAAGATCCAGGGTAAAATACAAACATCGTCAGGCAGTTGGGAAATGATGTTTTAATGTATACAAAGTCAATGTTTGATCTAAGACTGTGTTGTCTTTATTCTCGTCTTTGGACACAACTCTGTCATCAACTCCCACTGGAAGCTGGCCATGAAATCTCAGTGGAGCACCTAGAAATTCCTAGAGATCTTATTTAAAATCAAATCCATGAATAATCAAATGGATTGAATGGTTGGTTGGGATGGTTATATTCAAATATATCTGTGCAACAAACATCCCAGTTGCTTTGGGACTTTTTAAACAATAATTTGTGAGAGTGACACAGGTGTTTCCTAACTAAAAAAATCTCAGAGCCTTTTTCAAATGCTAGTACTTGGAATTCATGGCCAGAAGCTGCAAAGAACTCCAATAAAGTAGCTCTAGGGCTACTTTAACCTTCCTAATGCTGCGACCCCTTTAATACAGTTCCTCCTGTTGTGGTGACCCCCAACCATAACATTATTTTTGTTGCTACTTCATAACTGTAATTTTGCTACAGTTATGAATTGTCATGTAAATATCTGATATGCAAGATGTATTTTCATTCACTGGACCAAATTTGGCACAAATACCCAATATGCCCAAATTTGAAAACTTGTAGCATTTGGGGGAGGGGGGCGATTGATTTTGTCATTTGGGAGCTGTAGTTGCTGGGGTTTGTAGTTAAACCTACAATCAAAGAGCATTCTGTACTCCACCAACGATAGAATTGAACCAAACGTGGCACACAGAACTCCCATGACCAACAGAAAATATTGAAAGGGTTTGGTGGACAATTACCTTGAGTTTTGGAGTTGTAGTTCCCCTGCATCCAGAGAGCACTGTGGACTCAAACAATTATGGATCTGGCCCAAACTTGGCATGAATACTCAATATGCCCAAATGTGAACACTGGTGGAGTTTGGGAAATATAGACCTTGACATTTGGGAGTTGTAGTTGCTGGGATTTATAGTTCACTTACAATCAAGGAACATTCTGAACCTCACCAACAATAGAATTGGGTCAGATTTCTCACACAGAACCACCATGACCAACAGAAAATAATGTGTTTCCTGGTGGTCTTTGGTGACTCCTCTCACATCCCTTTGTGATCCTCCCCCCAGGAGTCCCCACCCTCAGATTGAGAAACGTTGCTCTAGAGCATTTAATCTCAGCCTGGTTTGACTACAACTCCCACCATGCCTGACCATGAGTCATACTGGTTGATGTCAATGGGTGCCATTGTCCTGAGATTCTTCTCTGGGGAAGCATCTCAGGACAAGAGCATAACCTTGAGAATAATATATCTTTGGATGTTTGGGATACACTGCTTCTGCATTCTTTAGAGTGGCTATCTTTACTCTTTTGAGGCCAAGCCTATACTAATTTGGTTAGACTACACACCCCATGCATTCTTAAAAGCAGCGCTTGCAAAGGTGTTCAAAACAGCTGATTGTTTTTCCTCTCTTTCTGCCTCTTTGTTGCTTGCAAAACTTAATTTTCATCCAGATTTCCTCCTTTCATCCAACTTGCTGTTTATCATTTGAATGATGTACTTTGACCAACCGTGGCTGATGATTAATGTCTCCTACTTAATGACCTCACCAGGGACCAGCTGATGTAAGCAGGAGGCATTCTTAAGTCTCAGCTTTGGGCACTAAAATCTCAAGAGATGTTATGTTTCTGACCCTGTTATGGTGGGGAGATTGAAATGGGAATATTCCATGATTTTAGGGACAACAATGTTGTCGCAAGTGAATCAGACCACTAAAAAGTGCAGGTCTTAAATGATAATGACACAATGGTTGCCAGGTGGAAAGCAGAGGGTTTCTATACTTTTAACAGTTGTGTAGAAAATGCTGATTATTGGGCAAGTCAACCTGCCAAAATCCCCTTTTGTTCACAATCATATTTTGGGTATAGAATAAAGGTAAAGGTTGACATTAAGTCCAGTCGTGTCCGACTCTGGGGGGTGGTGCTCATTTCCAAGCTGAAGAGCCAGCATTGTCCATAGACACCTCCAAGGTTACGTGGCCGGCATGACTGCATGGACTGTCGTTACGTTCATGCCGAAGTGGTACCTCTTGGTTCTGGCCTGACTTACCTGTCCGAACACATCTCCTCCTATGAACCAGCTAGGACATTAAGATCATCTGGGGAGGCCCTGCTCTCGGTCCCACCGGCAT